TTAGCAATGTTCAGGGAATAAGTAACAGGCCAGTTTTATGGATCTATTATATCCAGATTTTGTCCTATGGACATAAGGAGCCACTGACGCTTTTAGAATAAAGGCTGACCACGTACCATGTGTTTACAATTAATTGGTAAAAGCTGTGTGGGATTGTTTGGGGGGGAAAAGCGGAGGGGAGGGATAATTCGGAGACTATCGTGATATTTGAGGTCAGGATGACCGGGTCCTAACAGTCTACACAGTACGGGGTTGGTAGTGAGGATGGAAAGAAATCGGTACCTGCCTGGATATGGAAAACGATCATGGAGGCCAAGAGCACTATAAGGTTTCAAGCTGGAGGGAAGGGAGAATGCTCTTATCCTTGAGAGAATAAAATTCAGGAAGCACAGTTTAGTGAGCAGAAAAGTTCTCTGAAGTCTAAAATACGTGGGGCTTAAGGTGATGGGGACACAGTTGGGTGCAGAGTTCTAATAGATGTTTGTGGCCAAAGCTCAGGGGGAGAGGTCAGTCCTGAGAGTGTGGACCCGGGAGTCACCTGCATGAGAGAAAAATGCAGAGAAAAGGTAGGGGATAAAGTATGGGAGGGAGGAGTGTGAGAGGCAGCCCAAGAGGTTAGAAGGCAGGAGAGGAGAGGAGTTCAGAAGTCAAGAAGAAGCACGTTGTAAGGCTGGGGAAGTACACAGCAACGGTGACTACTTACTACGAGACCGTGTACTAAGAAGAGGCCAGCAGGTATATCACTGTGATCTGCAAGAGGAAAGCTTCAATAGGGAAGCGGGTCAACAGTTCATCCGTGTCAGGGAAATAAAGGGGGCGGGGGGGTGATGATGATAATGGGAAGATGATGATGACAGCAGAGAGTGAGGCGACTCAGCAATGTAGAGCCGAGAGTCACAGAAGTTAAGCTGAAAAGCAGTGGGGCCAATGGGGGATTTGTTTCCCCCTTTTCCACTTGCTTGTAATTATTGGCGGAAGAACACACTAGTTCATGGGGACCTGGAGTACAATCTGGGAAATCTAGTCAATAATATTGTAATTAATATTTATGGTGCCAGTTGGGCATGGGAAATATCAAGGGGAACATTTTGTAAAGTATATGATTGTCTCTAACCACCATGCTGTACATGTGAAACTAATACAAAATAATACTGAGCAGAAACTGCAAATGAAAAAACATTTTTTAAAAGAACAGATTGAAAATGTAAAAGCAGCAAGGTTTTGAGGAGGCTGGGACTCAAGAGCAAAGGTCTTGAGGGGTTAACCTTACAACAGGAGAAAGGCAAGCAGGAAGGGTATGAAAGGAGTTATGTTTGGCTCAGTGGATAGAGCGTCGGCCTGTGGACTGAAAGGTTTCAGGTTTGATTCCGGTCAAGGGCGTGTACACTGGTTGAGGGCACATCCCCAGTGGGGGCTGTACAGGAGGCAGCTGGTCGATGTTTCTCTCTCATCGATGTTTCTAGCTCTCTATCCCTCTCCCTTCCTCTCTGTAAAAGACCAATAAAATATATTTTTTAAAAAAAAAGGAGGTATGATAAATCAGGTTTTTAAGTAGAAAATAAGAATTCTCCAAATAGCTTTGCTTTTCTCACTCAATTAAAGGCTAAATACTTAATCTTTAAAAAATAAAAATAAAAAATTTAAGAACCTGCTGAGATGTGTAACAAACTGGGAAAGGAAAAGAAAGAGGTGATTGGGGTAAAATCTGCTGAGCTCCCAGGACAAGGAGGAAGAAACCAAAGTTCTCAATGTGAAGAAATCAAGTGAGAGCAAAAGATAGTAAAATTACTTAAGAATACAAAGAAGATCTTGAAAAATCAAAGATAAGTCAGAACTCAACTCACCAGCCAACATTGCAACATAAATGCGTTTAAAAAAAAAAAGGACAGAATGTTGGAACAGCGGCGGCCAGGCCTAGAGTGCCCAGGCACAAAGCAATGGCAACCGGGCCTGGAGCAGCAACGGCCAGGCCCCAGAGCAGCAGCAGCCAGAACCAGAGCAACAACAGGCAGCACTGGAGCAGCCAGACCTGAGGCGGAGGCAGCCAAGCCCAGGGTGGCCAGTCCAGGAATACCCAGACCCGGAGTGGCCGGACCCGGAGAAGCCGGGCCCAGAGCAGCCGGGTTGGGAGCAGCCAGGTCCAGAACAGCAGTAGCCAAGCCTGGAGCATCCAGGCTGGGAGCGGCCAGACTTGGAGCGGCTGGGCCCGGGGCAGCCGGGCCCAGAGCAGCCGGGTCTGGTGCGGCCAGGCCCGGAGCAGCGGCTGCCAGGCTGGGAGCGGCCGGGCCCGGAGCAGCCGGGTCTGGTGCGGCCAGGCCCGGAGCAGCGGCTGCCAGGCTGGGAGCGGCCAGGCCCGGAGCAGCCGGGTCGGGTGCGGCCAGGCCCGGAGCAGCAGCAGCCAGGTCCAGAGCAACTAGGTCGGGAACGGCGGTGACCAGATCCGGAGCAGCTGGTTGTGGAACGAACCAGAGCAACAGAGGCCAGGCCCGAAGCAGCCAGGCCTGGAACAGCTCGCTTCTCGCCTGCCTCTGCCCCACGGCTGCCTCTCAGACATGGCTGAAAACTTTTGTGGGAACTTGAGGGTCTGCTGAATCAAGTGATGAAGGCTTAGATCTGGATGTGTTGAGTTAATATAGGGCTGAGGTGTTGATCTGTGAGTGCCTTGGGTGGGGCCTGGATGAGGCTGGTTGACCTACTTGGAAATGTCTTTTATGTGAAATTTATCATTGGGCATGTAGTGGTATTATTGATATGAGAAAATGCTAAGTAACTGATTTACTATCTGAACAGGGATTTATTATCGAGGAAAGGGAGGGAGGAAGAGACTGAACATAAACTGCACCTATAAATGAAGACAATGGGGGATGGGGAGGGGGTGGAAGGTGGGGTGGGAACCTGGTGGAGGGGGGAAGAAATGAGGAATCTTTGTAACAATATGAACAATAAAGATTGATTTAAAAAAAAAAAAGAAAAAAAAGAAAAGGCATTTTAAGACTGAGTACAAGTCTTCAGATGTATTTATTACCTGGGCTGACCACCAGACTTCTCTGAGCTTTTCCTCAAAGCATTGCTCAAGGATCAAACAAGATAACGCTAATGTAAATTATAAAGCACTTCTTAAACAAGAGAAGCTTGGGACACCCACCTGGGAAATGGGATAGGGCATGAATTAGAGATGAAGCATTGCCAAGCCATCAGGTGAAGGTGAAGTTCAAGCTGGAATATATAGCCAGCCCAAGTCTGCACAGTTTGTGTGACTGAACTCCATCACACCGGGACGGAGAAAGCAGATTCTGAGTCAGGGTAGATGAAGAAATCTAGGTAAGAATTCTTGGAGGCATGCTTACTTTTGGAAATCACGTGTCATTTTTATACACAGGTGGGGGCAAAAGAGGGTTTACAGTTGAGTATAGGAAACAGTTTATTTTGGTATTATTACTTATTATTGTATTATTTTCCCATACAAACTGTAAACCTACATTTGCCTCACCCTGTATAAGTGGCATTGGACTCATTGACAGGTTATATTTATTTTGGAAATGGCTAAACATTTCAAATTTTTGTAAATAGGTGTGTTTTTTTCTTCTTCATATTTTGGAGTCGACAAGTTTTGTTGTTGTTGTTGTTGTTGTTGTTTTTCAGATTACCTTATTTTTAAAAGCCTGTGCTCTGGGCACTGTGCCTCGAAAAGGCGGATAAGAAAGACATGGATGACACAGCTGTCCCTTGGATCCAAGTCAATGTAGAGAAGGCCATGAACAAAGAATATAAGATGGTACCTACTCGGGCCTAAGCGGTGGAGACAGAGAGAGGGCGGAGTTGAGGAGCCGGTGCTGCCACGTGTGGAGTTCTGGGGAGAGAGGCTCCAGGTCCCAGGAACAGCAAAGGCGCCACATGACATGGCCGAACCAGGAGACGACTGGTAAGGGCACCAATAAACACAGGCATGTTCAAGGGTGTTCAGTGAGTTCATCTGCTTGATTAGCTTGTGAGCCCACAAAGGGCTCATTTCTACCCTCCTTGGCATCCTCCACTATCCCATTGTGACCGCCCGCGGGCCCTCCTGGAGGGACTGGCAAAAACATCGGGACAAACCTGCTCCGTGTCAGGCATGAACTGTAGCGTTCTGGGCGACAAACACTCAACTCCTTAGGTCATTTCCATCCTGATCGTAGCGGGTGAAACAGCGGCTTCTCCAGCCCCGGGGGCGGGGCCCTTGGTCCCACAAAGCGCCCGGTGCCAGCGGGCCCCAGAGGCCCACCAGCGGGCACTCTAGGCCCTGAGGGGAAACTTCCGCCGCCGCCACATCCGGAAACAGGAAAACGTCTCGTCCTACAACTCCCAGCATGCCCGGCCTGACTGACAGCCCCAACCACCAATGGAAGGGCCCAGTCTGGGCTGGTGGGACCCTCCTGAGCGCGCCAAGGAGGCCATCCCCGAGGCCTATCAAGTGGTCCTCTGGCCTCTCTGACACCACAGGGATAAAGAGAACAATCCCCGTAAAATGGTGACGCTGGCTCTACTATGCCGCTCACTCCTCACCTTGCTTTTTTTGTGTGTGTTTTTCCCATCAGTGAGGCCCGAGCCCTCCCACCGCCCCGCCCTTCTGTTTGGTTCTCCCCTCCCCGCCTGAGTGGACAGGCGATGTGGGATTTCCAGAGCTTATTGAGTGTCGGTGGTGTCCATCTAGAGGGCGGGCCGCCCCTCTCGGACGGTGATTGGACGCTCCTGAGTGGAGGGCTGGGATTGGTGCGAAGAGCGGCCGGGGCCTTCCAGCACCTGGGGTCCAAACCTGGGGAGGCTGCGGCCGCTGAGGAGCTGGTGCGGACTCGCCACATCCCGGCCCGCTGTGTGCCCTCCCCCCCAGGACCGGGTCGAGGGGAGGAGCGGGAGGCCCCCTACCTCATCACGGGGGGCGAGGAGGGCGCTTGTCGCGTGTCGGGCGCGGCACCAGTGGGGTGGGAGGGCAGGGTGGGGGTGGGTGGGGTTGAGAGGTGCAGGGATAGGTTGAGGAGGAAGCAGCCAGAGACTAACGCCTGACCTAGACCTGGAAGCGCTTCCGGGGAGGATTTGGGGGGCAGAGGCAGGCGTGGGTGTGTCTGGCATGGGATGCCGTGGAAAGGAGGGGGCACTCCTGAGCAGAGCGGTGGGTCCTTCCTCGGAGGAATCCTCTCCCCGTTTGCCCTTTGATTATTTGTTGGAGAGCGGTTCCCCATGGTCTCTGTTCCCGTGCCGGGAGCTTTCTCTTTGGGTGGGCTTAATCAACTACTCCCTTACAGAACTGCCCGGGGCCTTTTCTGATACTGGGCATAGACGTGGGGAATATGTCAGAAAAGAGGAAGCCGCTGCTGGGCTTCATGGGCAAACTCCCCAGTGGGCCTGCCCTGGGGAACTCCGGCAAGACGCACTGCCCTTTGTGCATGGGGCTTTTCCAAGCCCCCAGGCTCCTGCCTTGTTTGCACACAGTTTGCACCACCTGTTTGGAGCGGCTGGAACCCTTCTCAGTAGTGGACATCCGAGGGGGAGACTCTGACGCAAGCTCTGAGGGGTCACTATTCCAGGAACTCAAGCCACCCTGCCTGCAGCCGCAGACCGGCATCCTCTGCCCAGTATGTGATGCTCAGGTGGACCTGCCCATGGGCGGAGTGAAAGCTTTAACCATAGACCACCTGGCCATGAATGATGTGATGCTGGAGAGTCTGCGTGGGGAAGGCCAGGGCCTGGTGTGCGACCTGTGCAGCGACAGGGACGTGGAGAAGAGGTGTCAGACCTGCAAAGCCAATCTGTGCCATTTCTGCTGCCAGGCGCATAGGTAACGACGGGCTACCCCCACCTGGTGTGGCTTAGGAGTAGAGGAGAAAGGTGTTGAGCCACATCCCTCCTTGGTGAGCAGATGGGAAGGAAAGCTTTCTCAAATGCCATGGGAGGTCAAAGAGCCACCGACAGCAAATACTCTATAGCGTGGTAGTATCTTCCTGCCGCCTTAGACAATACCCACAGCAATAACAGCATCCCAGGCTTGCACAGTCCTTTTCTGGTGGCAAAGCACGTTCACGGGGTCCTTGGCTCATCGATTATTTGTATGCTGAGTAATGGCACTGGGTGTTGGAGAAAGAGAATGAATAGAATAGCGTACTTCCTGCCTCGATCTCATTTGATCCTTGCCCCTCTTATTAAAAAAAAAAAAAGTAGGCACTGCTTCCACCCCTATTTATTGGGGAAACGAGCTCCTCGATATATGATTTCCCACAGCCCCGCAGGTGGTAACATATAACAACTGGTTTTTCAATCCAGATCTGCTTCCTGCTAGTCCATGCTGGCTTCCCAGTGTTTGGTGAAGTCACAGGTGCTCATTCCAACACATTAGAATATAAAATAACCCAAGGTTTAGGGTTAGCTTCAGGTAGTTTTTGAGTTCTGCCTTCCATTTATTCTCTGGCCTCACCCACAGAACAAGTTAGGAGTCTTGGGTCTATTTTTAACTTGTAACTCTGTCTTGCTGCCAGCTGAACAGCTGACCCCGTTTTCTCTACAGCCACTCCTCTGCCCCAACAGGCACCACAGCTTCCCAGGAGTTCCCCTGAGTCTCTGGAGAGCTACAGAGAAGAGGGGTGCTAAGAGCTTTGCTTCTGATCATTGATTTCCCTCTTTCTGATGTCGATAACTCTTGAGGACAATTCTAGCTTGGTGCTTTGGGTGATGTAGGCACTGACCAAAGGAAGAGCTCTACCCACACCTTAGATAAAAGCTGAGGGAGGCTTACGGGGCCAGCTAGCTGCTTTTCGGTGGCCGGGGTTTACCGCTGTGCCATTGGGCTGTTGTTTCTTGGGGCTGGGTGTTCACCGTGCTCTCACCTCCAGCTTGCTGGAGGAGGAGGCTGTGGCTCTTGTCTAAACTTGCCGATTTCACTCTTTGGGCAAAGTTCTAAGATGTAAACTTAGTGCCACAGCCTTTTGCAATGCCATGTCCTGAGCAAGAGAGCCCTAGTTTGCTATGCATTCTGTACAACAGCCCTCTCAGGCACGTGCTATCCCCACTGCACAGAGGAGGGCCTGGGATCAGGGAGGATCATGTCGTTATTCAGAGATTAGAGCCAGGAACCGATCTCGGGTTTGTTTGACTTCAGAGGCCATGCTCTCACAACTGCGGGGCTGTTTCCCCACTAGAATGCTTCCCTCATGTCCTGTTCCCGACTCTGCTTGCCCCCAGGAGGCAGAAGAAAACGACTTACCACACCATGGTGGACCTCAAGGACTTGAAGGACTGCAGCCGGATTGGGAAGGCCATCCTGTGTCCCGCTCACCCCGCGGAGGAGCTGAGGCTGTTCTGTGAGCTGTGCGACCAGCCGGTGTGCCGAGACTGCGCGGTGGGGGCGCACCGGGAGCACCCCTGTGACTTCGCCGGCAACGTCATCCACAAGCACGGGGACTCCGTGCGGGAGCTCCTCAAAGGCACCCAGCCCCGCGTGGAGGCCCTGGAGGGAGCCCTGGCCCAGGTCAAAGACACAAAGAGTGCCCTCCAGCAGCGAGTGCAGGCCGTGGCCGCCGACATCCGGACGTTCTCCGAGGGCTACATCAAGGCCGTCGAAGAGCACCGGGATGGGCTGCTGAAGCAGCTGGAAGACATCCGGCTCCAGCAGGAGAACTCCCTGCAGCTGCAGAAGGCCCAGCTGGAGCAGCTGCTGGCGGACATGCGCACTGGAGTGGAGTTCACCGAGCACCTGCTGACCAGCGGCTCCGACTTGGAGATCCTCATCACCAAGGGGGTGGTCGTGGAGCGGCTCACGAAGCTGAACCAAGTCGAGTACAGCGCCCGTCCCAGAGTCAACGACAAGATCTGCTTCTCTCCTCAGGAGAAAGGCCGGTGCCGTGGCTATGAAGTTTACGGGGCCATCAATACCAAAGAGGTCGATCCAGCCAAATGTGTCCTTCAAGGAAAAGGTAGGAAAGCACTGCCCGTTGGCACAGGGCAGTGAATAGGGACATGGCGCTGGGAGACAGAACGGGAAGAGGGGGGAAAGGGAACAGGGAGACCACCGTGCACGGGAAGCACAGCCCTTTGTTCTATGGTGGCCTGGGGAGGGAGGCACCGCCTCCGCCATGAAGGTGAGGACTGTGTTTATCTTGCAGATCTCCACAGAGCCCGGGAGAGGCAGACGGCCTCCTTCACCCTGCTGTGTAAGGACGCTGCGGGAGAGGGCATGGGCAGGGGAGGAGACAACATCCAAGTCGCCGTTGTCCCTAAGGATAAGAAAGACAGGTTTGTACCACACAGTCACGTGGCCTGGGCAATGACACTGGAAGCTTGAGGTCTGAAGCAATGGTGGCTTGGTAATGGTGGTGGTTACCATCTGCCTCCCTGTGGTGCTACTAAAAATATGGCCAATTGGATCAGGTGTCTCTTCTGGGCTCCATGCCTATATGCAATTCTCTCCCAAAGGTCCGATCTGCCCGATTGTCTTCATCCCAAGCTTTGAATAGAGTGAAAAAATAGTCTATATTTGACTGAACGGTGCCCTTCTCAAAATTCAACCCCACTTGGCTACTGAATTGTATTGGGAGCTGAGCTACGTGGCTCCGATGAGGGAAGGGAAGGACAGAGTACAGGAGGCCACAGCAGAGCCATAAGGTCTCCATGGAGCTCATCCACACAGCAGATGAAGTCGGTGTTTATTTCACTTCCCTCTGTTGTGAAATTAGTTTCTGAGGCAGGTGGGAGCAGCATCTTGTGTGGGGGACATTTAAAAGTTGGTTGAATTGAATGGTGTAGTTTCCAGCCTAAAATAGTGGGCAATGATGCAGGCGGTGAGAGTGAGTGGCTTTTTGGAACTCTTCTCTCCGTCCAGTCCAGTCCGAACAATAGTGCAAGACAACAAGGACGGGACCTACGGCGTTTCCTACACCCCCAAGGAGCCTGGCATCTACAAGGTGTTGGTCTGCGTCAAAGAGCAGCACGTGCAGGTGAGTAAGGCCTGTGCGGACGCTTCTCCGAGCTCCTTTCGCCCTGGCCCTCGTGGGTTCTGTCGCCTTCGGATGTGGAGACCTTTCTCATAGCATCCGCTGTAGAGAGGGACCGAATAGGATTCTCTTCCTTCTTGCTGCCCTTCCCTTTGGAAATGCCCCCGATTCTGTGATTCGTTCTTACCAGAGGATGCTGTACCTAAGAATTCTCGAGCCCCGTTTTACCTTTGGGCAGTGATGCTTGTATTTTATCACTCTCCCAATTGGCTTGTTGGAACTCTGAATTTGGGAAAGATGCCTTAATCACAGGGGACAATCTACTAGCAGGCAAGAATACACACTCAAGAAATAAAATCTGGCTCGGACGATGACCAGATGGTGGACTTACTGGAATATGATTGGGAGGCATACACCCTCTCCTTTCAACTGCCTAGTCATCTGTCTGCTGCCCATGTGATTCTCTGTTGACATCGATGCTTAACTGTTACCATGGTTACTATACCACCTCCACAGACAAGTGTAACAGTTTCTGGCTAGAGATTATGAATTTTTAAAAACTTGGGCCATACTCAACATTTCCAGCAGAATCTCTCTGCTGACATTTGAGTAACCAGAGGTTCCCCCCAACCGGAAATCAATACTGACAGGGACACAAATACCATGGAGTCATGACATGTCAGGCCTGTGGTCTGCGTACTAGAAGATTCATTGTTCACTAGCCACACGTCGCTTGCCTAACCGGTGTGCCAGCGTGGGTTAGGTATTTTTGCATACATTTATTTCACTTTTCCTCCGAACCATTTTTAGGTATGGAGATCATCATCTGATTAGACTGAGACACCAAATGTGTCAAAGCATACAGTACCTGCATAGCAACACCATAATTTGACCCCATTTTCTTAAACTCCAAGTTATTATTATTTTTTTAATATATTTTATTGTTTTTTTACAAAGAGGAAGGGAGAGAGAGAGAGAGAGAGAGAGCTAGAAACGTCGATGAGAGAGAAACATCGACCAGCTGCCTCTTGCACACCCCCCACCAGGGATGCACCCGCAACCAATGTACATGCCCTTGACCGGAATCAAACCCGGGACCTTTCAGTCCGCAGGCCGATGCTCTACCACTGAGCCATACCGGTTTCAGCAAACTCCAATTTATTTTTAAGATAGATTGTAAATTCTCTAAAGGCAGAGAGACTTAACATCTGAAAGGCTTTAATATGCCAGACTCTCGACTTTGCATGGTTCACATAGGGGTAGGCACACAGTAACACTTACTGAATATTTATTGCTTAACATAGGCTAGCAGCTGGAGAATGGAAGTTATCCTTGAAGGAAAGGGGGCAGGTAGGAGAGTTTCTGACTTGAGAATGAATAACCACGCTCTTAACCTTTCTCCCTTGCAAATCTCTTCACTGTCCCAGAATAAAAGGGTGGGTACACAAACGTGTCCAGGATGGAGGGGTGGAAGGGAAGGAGGTAGCTCAGTATATGAGGGGAGGGAGGACGTGTGAGGCTGAGAAACTGGAGAATCACAAGATGTCCGGGCCTCTGGTTATGGCGCTCCACGGATTAACCGAGATTCCTCAAGGACGGAGAGGCTAAGACCGAGTGAGTGGCATGAAAGCACAGACAGGGTTTACCAGTGTGTCACGTGGTCTAGGTGTTAGGAGGGCAGCGCAGACTCCTGGCTGAGCACCCAGCTGGCTCTTGTCCCCTAGTGCTCCCCTCTCTGGGCAGGCCTGTGACTTACCCTCCCTCTAGCACACGGGATGCTCCGCACATCCTGTTGGCTCACACGTAAGGTGCCGTTCTTTGCTCCTGGTCTGAACACCCAAGGGCTCGCCGTTCACCGTGACCGTGAGGAAGAAGCACCACCCGCACCCGGGCGTGTTTCACTGCTGCACGTTCTGCTCCAGCGGAGGCCAGAAAACGGCTCGCTGTGCCTGCGGGGGCACCATGCCAGGTAAGGAAGGCCAGTCGCTCTTGAAAGTCCTTCCCCTCTGGGACCGTCTCCCAGCAGTGGGAATTAGCACAGGCACTAAGTTTGGGATATTCTGCCTTAGGCTTCGTTTCTAATATAGTCTGTGGCCCTGGTTGGTTTGGCTCAGTGGATGGACCGTGGCCTGTGGACCACAGGGTCCCAGGTTCGATTCCAGTCAAGGGCATGTATCTTGGTTGCAGGCACCTCCCTGGCCCGGGCCCTAGCGGGAGCACGTGGGAGACAGCCAGTTGATGTCTCTCTCTCACATTGATGTTTCCCTGTCTTTTCCTCCCTCTTCCCCTCTCCCTGAGAATCAATGGAGGAATATCCTTGGGTGAGGACTAACATAATAAAAAGAAAGAATATAGTCTGTGGCTACAAGGACCACAGTTCTAAAACTTTCGTTTAAAGCTTCTTTGTTCTGAATACTGAAACAGCAAGCTTACAAGCTCTGAGCTCTTTTCATTTTGATACAGTTCACCAATCCCATGAGCCCTGCTTCTCCCTAGAAGCTTGGTTTCCCGTTTCTGCTCTTTCCAGCAACCTGGCAGCATAACCAATGTTAACCCATCCTGTTCCTTATACTAGTAAAAGGTTAAAGAAGTCCCAAATGAGGTAGGGACGGGGGCATGGATGATTAAATCAACTGAACCAGGTCTGACTCTTCTGGGGGGAGGATTCAGCTCAGGCAAGAGATCTAATTGTTTTTAAAAGCGTTCTATTGTGTCCTTACTCCAATGGCGGGCCTTCAGTGTGGCTTTGGCACCCTTTGCTATAAACATTTTAGGATCTATCTTCTTATTTCCACCACTCTTTTATTTGTATTATTTCAGAATTAAAACCCAAACGAGCTCATCTCCTTGAGTTAGCACAATGTTAAAATAACACTCTTCTCAGAACTTCAGCTCATCTTACTTGATTTGCTGTCATCAGTCCTGGGAGTTCTGACTATAGGGGCATCTGGTAGTTTGTTCCTCTCACCGGGTTTTTATGAGATGTTTTCACATCCAGGAGCTGGAATGTTGCCAGGAGCTTTAATGTCCATGGGTACTGATGGTGTTTCCCCCTCTCCTCTCTGTATAACACAGGTGGGTACCTGGGCTGTGGCCACGGACACAAAGGCCACCCAGGCCGTCCCCACTGGTCATGCTGTGGGAAGTTTTCGGAGAAGTCAGAATGCACGTGGACAGGCGGGCAGAGCACAGCGAGGAGTGTACTCAGGACGGTGGCACTCTGACGGTTTCCCAGGTCAACCCGCTAAAGCTGCAGCCAGCACGGCTTCAGATCACCAGACCCCGGACCTCGATTAATTCTGAAGAAACTGATAGAATTAAACACAAAGTGCCTTACCTAGATGCTCGAGCGCAAATACTTTTTGTGAGTTATTCACCGATTGTATGTGTGGGTGGTTGAGCACAAGACGCCACCACTATATGTCACAGGAGGCTGGCTTCTGTTTGTATGGGTATGAAGGTACCTATGCCATTAAACTTCAAGATCATGGGGACAGTTTTGCTACTCTTGTCACCAGCTAGCTAATAATAGGAAAGGAGCAAAAGGGAGGCCAGACATTATAAGCATGGACATCTGGGCAGCTTCGCCAGGAAGCTGCAATGTCACACTCCCAGGGACCACTGTTCCAGTCCCTGCAGATCACTGGGGGGAGGGGAAGATGGACACATGCGCAGTAAAGTCGGGGTGATGTAGGAAAGATGCTTGCCTGTCAATCAAACCTAGGAACAGAATCCTTGGCTAGAGGGTGAAATCACTGCGAGTGCACAAAATCGTAAGAAGGTTAAACTGAAAGGAATTCTCTTTCTTATTCCTCTAGTTTCTTTTGTTTTGCTCCTGCTTCCCTGCACTCTCCCATGTTCCCTCCATAGCCACGTGGCCATGCGGACCCCACACGCAATGGGCTGCAAGCTGGGAATACAAACTCAGCTAGCCTGATGCTGGATTGGTCTGTGCAAATATGAAAAAGTGGAAATTCTGGGCACTAGCTTTAATCCTAGCTCTGCTTAAAGACAAAATGGACTTTTTTCTTGGTGGGATAGAGGGAGATGGGTCCTTGAGAACTCAGGGGTTTAATTCCACGCCAATAAGTACCACTCATTCTCCCATGCGAGTCTTAGAAAATACCTTTCCTCATTGCATTACAAGACCATTTCCACTGGCAACCAGTGGGGACATGGAGGACACCCCACCAATCACCGTGTCCCTGACTTTTTGGTAATTAACCTTTTTTTTACTTCTCCGAGGTACATTTTATATAGATAATTTCCACAGGAATAAACACCTCTTTTTATCACATCCACTTTTCACTAGCAGATTCAATGGATTGTCATGTAATCTTGCTGTTTAGATGGAAGTCCCCTTCCTCCTCCTCCATACCACGTTCATCTCGTACCCCCAGAGCCTAGAAGACTACTTCGTAAGGGCACACAAGTAGTAAGTAGACAAAGGGAAGTGGTGTTGAAATAGAACCTCATGCCTTTACTGCAGTCTTGCTCCTGCCAGACAATCATGTTTCTGCTCAACACCTTCCAATGGATTCCCATGGTACGGAGAACAAAGCCAGTCCTTATGTCAGCACGTAAGACCCTGTATCACCTGCTCTTCCCATTCCCTACCCATCCTCCCCACTGCCCATCACTCTACTGCAGCCATACTGGCCTGCCTGGTGCTCTCAAGCCCTCCAAGTACTCTGTCTTGTAGCCTTATCACCCCCCCCCCCCCCCCCCCCCCCACACACACACACCTCCACCACCACCAGATTTCTGCTTTGTCAAGTGTCTTTCTGGAAAGGACCCTAAGTATATCATACAAAAGAGCAACCCTCCCCTCACCAGGACTCTATTTTACCCTTACTTGGCTTAATCACCATCTATCATAAATATTCTATTTGCTTATTGTCTGTCCTCTTATACTAGACTGTAAGCTCTATGAAGGCAGAGATTTGGCATTAACTACTGTATTTGTCCCTGTGTATTTTACATTGTTCTTGGCACACAGTAGAGCTTAATCAATATTTTGTTGAATGAATAAAAAAGTGATTGCTAGAAATTTTAGTCTGGATCTCCTTCATATCTTTCTACAAGCCAGACTTCCCTTCCCTAAACTACAATATTTGCCATTTAACCATATACCACTTAGAAAAAAAAAATCGGCCTCTCTCAAACACATTGGATAAATTAAATGCACTTTGGGGACCAGCCTTAAATTTTCTAATGACCTCTGACATGTAGGGAATTGCTTGCTACAAAGAAGCTTATTGTAGTTACATCATTCTCTCCCCCACCACCACGGTCTTTTAATGAATAAGATTTCAGAAATGAGGATAAAAAGCTTATTTCAGTTGGAAAATATTTCAATAATTAGATAACACTACCGTAGAAGAGCAACAGAAAACTTCTATAAGATACCTAGTTTTTGGCCAATGCCCTAACCCTTAAGCAATATTAATGGCAATGGTTCCATTACAGATATTAAGAAAGTTTGTGCAGGTGGGGGCAGGGATGTTCCTTGGCCTGCGCTACAGTGGAATCTACCCTCAATTTAATTTAGCTGCCCTGCCAGCTGAAAAACCTGGCAAAGGATGAGTGAACTGCAGAGCCCAAGACTCCAAGGTAAAGGGGAAAAAAGCCTAGGGTAACAGAGTACTTCAGAAGTACTCTGTTACCCTAGGGTAACAGAGTACTTCAGAAGTCACCTTTGAGTTGTGAGCACCGAAGCATCCACACGATGCAGTATTATGATGTAAGTTATACCTCTGGTGCTAACAGATCAGAAAAAAGAGCCATAATTACAGCCCTCGTTCCCTGGGGTACTATAACAGGATAAACACCTCTGCTGTCTTGGGCAACAAGCGTACACGTTACACCTGCCAGCCCACCCACCCTAATCTCTGAAAGTCGCTCAGCTTCATTGCAGAGGCTGTACACCCATGTGTTAGGTCTGTCTCAGTGAAGAGACGGTTGGGTGAAGTGAATGCGAATTGAAAGCAGAACGGGGAAGAGGCACTTCCCTCTTGGCCTTGTTACTTACACTTCCAAGTTAACATCTCCTCTGTCCTAACCAGTGCTTGGAATGAACACCGACTATGTTCCTCTAACGTGCTTTCTGACAACGTCCAGCTAGTCAAAGGGGTTATAGCAGGGTATCTGTTGGTGAATTCCCAGTGGAGCACACTGGGCTAAATGCTAATCTAGGTATCTTATAGATAACAGAATGGAGATGGACATGAAATGTGTAACCAGCCTATTATCAGACCATCAGCAAGAGGCAGGGTTCGTAAGCTCTTGCTGGCCTGGGAGCCACTGCTGCTCAGGTGACATTTATCTGTGCCCTGGTGTGATCTTATAGCATAACTCCGGGAGGGTAATCTTACGTTCCTGATTTTATCAGCGACCACACTGTAGTTGTTGAGTTCTGAAAACAATACCTACCTTACAAATGTGGAAACCAAAGTGTAGAGAAGTGAAGGATTCTTTTCAAAGTTACACCCCCAGCTACGGTGAACCTGGGACTGGAGTTAAGTCTAAGTTCCAAACCGAACCCTTCCTACCAGGCCATACTGTCTTTTCCGTTGCAGGCCTTAGAAAAATACTGTCGGCTATAATCCCTTCATTCCTCTCCAGCCCAAAAGCAAGAATACTTGGACTTCAACATCTCCTCTGTCCTAACCAGTGCTTGGAACGAACACCGACTATGTTCCTCTAACATGCTTGTCCTAGAAAGGCATTTTTGCTTTAACAGGTTCCAATGCCCCTGTCCAGACCACGGCTGGGTTAACAGAGGATTTCGTTTCCTATTCCCAACTCAAAGGAGGGTCTATCTAGGGAAAACTCAATTCTTTCCAGCACCGTTAGCACAGTAAGTGTTCTGGAAACAGTTGCTAATGGGAAGAAGGAAATCTGATGAGTTTCCCAAAGTATAAAAGTCTAAAGGGTTTGTATTAGGGTACTAACTCTTATATAAACAACCCTAAAATCTCTGTCCCTTAAAAAAACCATGTCACAGTCCAATGTGGGTGAGCTGGGGCGAGAAGGGAGGCGCATATGGGTCCCAGTCATTCAGGAACCAAAAGGGTCCATGGCCAACAACCAGGGTACGAATCTCTAATCTAGAGGCTTTGCAATTCTCTGCGGCCTTGTAACATTCCAAAGGGTCCTCTGAAGAATCACTTGCAAAGTTTTAGAGGAAAGATTTAAAAAAAATGACTTACATCACTTCTGTCCTCATTCCCGGGGTGAGAACTTAATAATATGACCCATGTAACTGCAGTAAAGACTGGGAACTGTAGTCTCTCTGGGAACCCAGGAGGAAAGAAAATTCAGTTTAATGAAAACAGCATTATTTCTGTTACACTGTCAGACACATTAGATTATACCAATGCTAAATGATACTATGGTACAAAGACTAAATAACACAATACTAAATGCTATGAATACTGTAGATTTGTAAAAATACAAATACTATAAAAATGATAAAAATACTAAATTATGACACAAATACTACATGATATGATGGCAATACAAAATGACGTATAGGGCACCTCTGATCTTACCCTGAGAGGGAGAAGGGCCTGGGAGTGAGACCACTGCAGAGGAATGGGTGTAAGGTCCTCTCTGCTTGGCCCATAAAGAGAATATTATAGAAGCAGCCTCATGGGCAGGAGAGGGAAGAACTGTTAGAAAGGCAGCAACACTAGGTCCCCCATCAGCTGAGAAGAGAAAGGCAACGGAGCTTTTCCTGAAGCTTACGCACAACCCTCCCGGAGTTGTTTTCCAAAGTTATCCAGCACTAAGCCATTTTCTTTCATGTGAAGCCACTAATGGGTTTGTGCCACTCACTCAGTGCTGGGGGTTAGAGTATGCCTCACTTGAGGAAGCAGAAGGCGTGATGGTGGAATGGAATGCAAGGAGAGCCCAAAGGACCAGGGTTAGGCTGTTCTCCCAGATCCTAATACACACCGACAGTGGCACCCTTCTGAGCTCTACAAAGGAAGTTAGATGCCAAAAAGGACTTTGAGGTCAGCCAAGGTCAGCTTAGTGACAGATTCTCCAGATCCTGATAGAACCTGTTTGGCCAAATCTTTCTTTTTCTCTTGAAGCTGCAAGATCTTCTCTTCCACTGTTTCCTCACAAACAAATCTAAAACACAGACAAGCAAACAATTAGAAATCCGAGGTAGCGTATCTAATAACATGTTCTAACTTCTAATTATGCTTTAGTTTTTAAATGAGGTTTCTTTCTTTATTTAAGCTTTCTTAGGTTTGGTTAAGAACTCTTAAGTTTAGGCAACCCAGACAACACTAACTATATGTACATTTAAAATTATGTGACTCAAATTGACTTTTTTTTTTTTCTTTTTCTTTCTGAAGCAAGGTGATTGAGAAATGCCAACATGAGCAAAAGATATCCCTATCCATTAAAGCACAGAGAGCCAGCTTTCACACCAGCAGCTCCGTCTTGATAAGATGGAGAGGAAGTTTCTGCTAGGCATGCAGTGCTAGTTTAAACAGAGTATCTGTTTTGGGGCTAATTCACACTATAACAGGTTTTACAATTGGAGAAAACGCCACTGTTGTCATTCAATCACTCAACCACTTCTGATTAAGCATTCACTGTACTAGTGTGGGTCCTAGGTCTTGGGAGACCCTTACTTACCTGTGTATGACAACATCTTTCTGCTGTCCTACTCGATAAATTCGGTCACAAGCTTGATCTTCAAGTGAGGGGTTCCTGGGAGAAAAAGAGGTAAAGCTCAAAGGCTCAGACATCCTAGGCTAGGGGCAGCCAACTCCATGGGTAAATCCAACCCACAGCCTATCTTTGGTATAGCTCTTTAGCTAAAAATGGTTGTTTTAGCTTTAAAGGGTTGAAAAATAAGCAAAATCCCACAATGAAAAATATGCAACAGCAACCTATGCAGCCTTCAAAGCCTAAAATAATTACTATCTGGCCTAAACTATATACAGAAAAAGTTTGCAGATCCCTGTCCTGGCTATACTGGCTGCAGACCTAGAAACGTGAGAGCTGAATACCTAATATTTCCTGCCCTCTGATGAGAAACTGGGGTCACTGCTAATAGTGACTCAGCATTATCGGTTCAAACAGTAAGTAACAGAGGTGGAACCAACATTCAAATTCGGTCACTAACTAGCTGAGGGACCCTGGGCAAGTCAACTAACCTCAACCCTCTGCATTCCTGGCTGTTACCTGGAAACATGAAAGCTGAATACCTTTCTCAACTTTCATATTCTGTGATTCCACTGCCGGAGAATTAGACCCACGTGCAGCAATCCCTGGCTGGCATAACTGGAAAACCAAAAGCTGGCACACTTTCTCCTGACAACACACTACCCATTTATCTTATTTCCAGGAAAGGTGCTATTATGCTCCTGGTGCTGACATTACACGAGAGGCCAAGGGCGACATGTTAAGTGTAGTCCTTACATAATTAGAAAATCCCTCCCCCTTTTTCTTTTCCAGAGTTGAGAGTTCCCTGGAGGCAAACACCTATGTCTGGAATACAGTATATTTTGAAGAGGCAGAACCGAGGGATGTAGGTCTTAGGTCTTAGCGATAGGAAAAGCCCTGCTCCCAGTTTCCATGGAAACAGACATTAGAATAACAATAAAGTGAATGGACTATTTTCAGTAGCATGTGAAGCCTTGCTGGTCAGGAATTTAGGGCTGTCCACTAGCCCTGTGCCCTATTTAGATCTGCATCTCCACACAAGTGCAGCAGCATCTCCCTAACGCAGATAGAGCAGAGTCACCAACGAAGGCAGGCCCTGCTGCCCCTCCAGCCTGCTGGGCCCCAGCTCTGCTGTGAAACTCAAGAAAAATCCAGAATTGTTACCAGTGCATATCCAGAAGAAAAAGGTGGTTTCCTCCAATCAGGTTTAGACCAACACCTCCAGCCAGAAGAGAGATTAGCATGACCTACAAAAGAGAGCACATCAGTAACTCCATATAATACACTCTCCTCTGTCCCAGGTTCAAGCCCAACATCAGTACAGAGCAGCACCGAGTTCCTATCAAACTCCCTTCTGCTGCC